CTTGTTTTTGTAGCGTCTGAGTCTAAAGGCAGTCTGATTTCCATTCTTCTTTATAGAAAATATTTTCTTTTTGTATTTGTGCTGAATCCCTTATCCTATAAGTTAAAAAAAAACTTTGTCAAAATGTGTCTGACACATACCCACCCTCTCTCTCTGCCTGAAACAGAAAAGTCTTGTCATCTACTGAATCGTGGTTTGGGATTTGTTTTTTGTTTTCTAACTCAGGAAACTTTTTTCCTATTATACTTTTGGTTATTACTTTTGTTTTATTTACTGTTTTTTCCCCCCCAGGAATATTTATTATTTTAGCCCGTCTCTGTTCTCTTTCTTCCATACCTATTACACATTCCCAATTGTGGTTTTTAATGTTTTGATGGGTTTTTTTTTCATCAACTAGGCCTAGTTACAATAATCAGACAAGACCTGCAGGATGCCCTTGCTTATTTACCCCGCCAACTGAGACGGCAATGGAGTCCTTTAGCCCAGTTTTGGATGATGATGAGGCTTTCCCACTAATGTGGCATTACAACACTGGGGTGCTATTTTCTCCTGGTCCTAGTGGTTATATAGGAGGAAACTGATACAAATTTAGAACATTCTGAGGAGCCCATAATTGTTCATTGACCAGGAGTAGTTTACAGAAATTTGTTTCTTCCCGACTTGTCCCAGACCCACAGCCCCATCTTTCCCCCCTTTTCTTCTCAATCAACCTCTTTGAAAGACTAGTTAATTTTAAATAACTTCACCCCTTCGTCTCATCTCCATCCCTCGACTGACTGCATGAGACTTCAGCTTCTCCCATTCTGCCAAAACAGTCCTTGTAGGATTTGACATCGACTTCCCAACTCCTAAATCCTACAGCCGCATCATTTACCTGATGATCTCTTCTATTTGTTGTTTATTTACTTCCTTACGCTGTTTACTTGGCCAGATCGACAATAAGCACCTCTTCTTCCCTGCCTCCCTTCTATACTGTGCCTTCTTTTCAAGCCCTACCTGTGTTTCTTGTCTACCCCTCTTTATACCAAATGTTGCCTGCCTTGACTTCTTTCTGCCAGACCCAGGCAGATCTAGGATGCTTTATTTTATATTAACTAGTGACAATGAAAAACTAAAAACTTACTAAGGAATAACAAAGTTCTCTCCTAATATTTCTGTATTGGAAGTAAATAATCATGAAGTCTCAAAATAATTTTCCACAGTTAGAAAACCCCAGAAGAGAGCACAGGCAGTAATTTCTCTGACATCAGCTGTAGCCACATTTTTCTAGATGTCTCCGAGGCAAGGGAAACAAATGCAAAATAAGCTATTGGGACTACATCAAAATGAAAAGCTTCTGCACAGCATAGGGAACAATCACCAAGACTAAAAGACAACCTACTGAATGAGAGAAGATATTTGCACAGTTAGAGAACTCCATTTATAAGTAGGTTTTCACAAATATTGCTCCTTATCCTGTTATTAAGAATAATGTAACCATCAGTATTCACGTAAAACTTTCTTTCTTACTTTTTCATCATCAAAAATGTTTTGTAAGTTAGGGAATGCATTGTCATTGCACGTCAAAAACACACAGACACATAATACATATTCTTTAAAAAAATTTTTTTTTAATGTTTATTTATTTTTGAGAGAGAGAGAGCAAGGGAGGGGCAGAGAGAGGGAGACACAGAATCCGAAGCAGGCCCCAGGCTCTGAACTCTGAGCTTCAGCACAGAGACCGATGGGGGGCTCGAACTCACAACCGTGTGATCATAACCTGAGCCAAAGTCGGACGGACGCTTAACCCGTTGAGCCACCCGGCGCCCCTTAATACACATTCTTTAAGTTTTATTTGTTGAGTACTTTTTAACATGCATCCCCACAGTCGAAAGCCCAGATCAGTCAGTTTTTGACCTGGGACCGGGAGGAGGAAGGTGTTAATTACCACGTTGCCAGGAGGTTTATGAACTGACATTAACATCTCAGCAGGAGCAAAGGTGGCGCCATAGCAACTTCCCGAGAGCGGGTGAAGAAAAGCATCATTACGTGCAGATTTATTTCCAGTTACAAAGCCTCACGCTTTTTATTTTAGTGATACTGCACAAATGTTATCTTTAAAGGACATTACTCTATTAGTAGCATAATTACCTTGCCATCTTTATTATCTGTATAATTAAAACATAAATACTTTACTTCTCGGTGCAGCAATTCAGTGAAGGTACTTGGTTAATATGTTAATTCATCTTTTAAATCTATTATGGCCACACTGCAGTCAGCACTTTTGAGGTTTGGTGAACGCAGCTGGATTTTGAGAACACTCCCAGCAGGGCTCAGAAACTAATTGCCCGTGGTATTTAGATTATTTTTAAAAAAAATATTTCCAAGAATTGTGTATATACTGGTTTTTGAATGCGACAACCACATACTCCAAAGTTAGTCTTGACAAATTAATTCTTCTGGCTGATTTTCCTGGTAGAACTTATGCTCAGAGTGTTCTGTTTAGTAAAGTTAATTTAGAGCTATCAGGGAAATCTTAATTATAAATCTAAGCATTTTAGGTCAAAGACTCTAGAAGAGTTTCAGATCTTTTTTATTCAGGGAATACTAATCAGGACTACATATATTTTAAAACCTTTCAGAAGCCACATACTTGAGATTTAAGTATTAATCGCACCATTTACAAGAGTAAAACAGTCATGACCTGCCTGAATCCTCAGTTTAAGTTAAAGGAGCAAGGGATTAAAACGATAGGATTACAGGACATGGTTCATAATTGGTTTAAGACAAATGAACAGAAGTGTTAGTGATGTAGCCAGTGCCAGTTGTGACCAGGTTGCTGTGTTTGGAATGAACAAAGGCCAAAAGTGATTGCCAAGGTGGTGACATGTGAGTGTGGTTCCGCTTCCGCGAAAAAGGGGGCAATTTGAAAAAACTCACGGTTAAAAGAAGACAGAGATCCTCTATTAACTTTAAAGTGGACAAGCAGTTATGATAAGTTCTGAGAATATTCCTAGAAACACAAGTTAGTTGTAATATATGTAAACGATGAATTAGTTCCTCGTGCAGTAGTCACATACGATCGAAATGAGTAGGGCGGTTTTTGCAGAGATTTTTTATTCTAACAGAATAGTCTCCTCTTATGTATATCAACATCCTAAGAGCATATCTTACACGTCCTTCTATTTTAACCACGTAAATTGACTTCAAAGGGTAATTAATGGAAAGTCAAACCTACGATGAGGCTTTTTGGAGGACTGTAAACAAATTAGCAAAGAATTATTTGTAAGCTGGTTCTTTTCAAACTAGTCTCTGATTCCTCTTACGGCATTAAAATTGAGTTTGGTTTAATATATATTTTTTCTAGTACATGCCTTTAATAAAGAGTAACTTACGGGATGCCTGGATGGCTCAGTTGGTTGATCATGTGACTCTTGATTTTGGCTCAGGTCATGATCTCATGGTTTGTGAGATCAAGCCCCACATCGGGCTCTGACCTGACAGCATGGAGATTCTGTCTTAAGATTCCGTCTCTCTCTCTCTCTCTCCCCCTCTGCCCTGCTCTCTCTCTAAAAATAAAAACGGTCTCTCTCTCTCTAAAAATAAAAACATTAAAATAATAAAAATTAAAATTAAAAAATAGCTGGAGAACACAAAACAAAAAAATGAAGTTTTAACGTTCTAATTTAGTTTAATGCAGTGCTTGCTTAGTATAGTAATGAGGTTGTCATTTATTTAAAAAAAATGAAAGGAAATCAAGAGAAAAACAGTAAGGAACAAAAAGAACATTGAAAATACTTTGATTTTTAATTAAGTGTTTCATAATGGGGTGAATATCATGGTATGTTCTTAGAGTCACAATTTTATTTGTTTTCAAATAAAAAAACATGCTAATGTATGTTTAGGTTATATCAATGGTAATTTAGCAATTAAATATTTATTGTAATTTTTGCTGCAACAGCATTTATTGTAACTTGAGATAAAAATGATTATGATTTTTTGATATAAGATTATAAACCCCGAAGACTTGGGCTCATTCTCTTTTACTCTTTTTTACTTTCTCTACTTCTCTCCTTTTCTCTTGAGTCTCCAGCATGCCAGTTTGTATGTCTAGGCATTCTTCAAATGTTGAGTTTTGTATTTAAAATAAACATCAGGGGCGCCTGAGTGGCGCAGTCGGTTAAGTGTCCGACTTCAGCCAGGTCACGATCTTGCGGTCCGTGAGTTCGAGCCCCGCGTCAGGCTCTGGGCTGATGGCTCAGAGCCTGGAGCCTGTTTCCGATTCTGTGTCTCCCTCTCTCTCTGCCCCTCCCCTGTTCATGCTCTGTCTCTCTCTGTCCCAAAAATAAATAAACGTTGGAAAAAAAATTTTTAAATAAACATCAAATAAACAGGGTTTTGTCCTTTCTAAAAAAAAAAAAAAA